TTATCTTTTTGTGTTGTTGGTGCCAGCAGAACCTGTAAGCAGGGCTCTCAAGTTTTGAACTGAGTTCAGAGTGAGATTTTGGCTGCGGTGGCAGTTTGGTTAAGATTTTATAAAAGACACATAAATTTGTACAAATAAAACTATTTATTGACAACATTTCCTTGGTTGGAGATTGTGTGTGTGTGTGTGTGTGTGTGATTATGGTTAGTGTTGTGGTTTAATCTCGTAAATCTACGACTTTATTCTCGTAAATTTACGAGAATAATCTCAAAATCTCAAAACCCCGTTGATTCCTATCTGTTCTATAGTTAAAAAAAAAATAGCGGAGCAACTTGGTGGGTGTTATCCTGGTAATTTATCTGCGTGAGAAATACAAGGTGTGGCGTGTGAGCGTGTGAACAGGTTTGCGTGAGACTTGAGAACATTGTGTAAGATAATAAACATTGTGCATTGTGTAAGCTAATAACTTAACTACAGTTAAGTGGACAGCTAACCAATGACATGATAGTATCATCCGAGAGTGTTTACTAAACGTAATGAAATGGTTAATTGTCTGCACAAAATCAAAACAAGACGTGAAGCCACATCGACTTTGATGAATTTGAAGTCGGATATTTCTTAAATTACTAAATAAATGAACCTAAATGAGGTTATTTTTATTTCAGTCTTCTTGATACTTCTTCTACATCCAGGAGAAATGATTGTAGCTTCTTTTAACTCGACCACATTATGTGACAACTAAAGCTACTCAAATCAGCTAACACGTCCAGACATATTATTATGGATAAGGAAAAAACTTTATGATCCCTTTGCAGAATTTACCATCTCTTTGCCCCCCCATGCATTATAACAAGCTGCAATATAAATGTATGTGCAGGTCCACTTGACCCTTAAATCCTGTGTTCACTCTGAATTATATGAAAACCTGCCGTTAGCTTTTTTGTTCCAAACATGTGACATCTTGAAATACTCTAAGTTTGACACTCTCGTTTCTCTTAAACGAACCAAGTCAGCTATTTCAAATCATTTCACAACAATGTTTGATTATATTCTCTAAATATTGGTTTTGTTTTTGTCTGAATCGTTTTAAGTGTTGTTGTGTGATTTTGTACCGTGACATCATTGTAAAAAAGGGAAACCTCAATTATTATTTGTTTTAGATTTATTTTGGGGGATTTTCACCTTTATTGGATAGGACAGTGAATAGAGTAGGAAACCAGTTTCATAACAGTCCCCCCAGAGTGTGGGGAATGACATGCAGGAAAGAAACCACAGGCCGGACTCTAACCCGGGCCGCCCGCTTGAGGACTATAGCCTCTGAACCGCTAGGCCACTGGTGCACCACCTCAATGGTTTTAGAGACTCATATAATTGTGGATGATGATGATATTGATAAATGATTAGTAATCCAGAGTGGCTTGCAGTGTCAGGTTTATAAATAAAAACTCTCACAAATCCTACATAATGATTTTTCCACATTTTGCACTTGTGAGTTCATTTTTATTAATGGTGCATTTAAGTATTTTTCCTAGAGTCAAATCCTGATGGATTACTTTAACTTGTACGGGATGTCTTCTCTGCTGTTACTCCTTCATGGACTTCTTCATTGGTTATCTGAGTGGTTGTTTGGCACCAGAGTGCTTCCATTGTGTTTTTTTCTTCTTCTTCTTCTTCAGCCCAAAAAGGACGCCGGGTCCTGGTGCAGAGAGACCCCTCTGTTGTGTCCCCTGCTGCGGGTCCTGGTGCAGAGAGACCCCTCTGTTGTGTCCCCTGCTGCGGGTCCTGGTGCAGAGAGACCCCTCTGTTGTGTCCCCTGCTGCGGGTCCTGGTGCAGAGAGACCCCTCTGTTGTGTCCCCTGCTGCGGGTTTTGTGCAGGGAAAGCCCAACCAGTAGTGGTGGATGGGGCACAACGTGACCTGACAACAAGGAACCTCCGGGAAAACCGTCAGTCCTAAACTATGTGCACAAGAGAGGGGAGGGTGGGGGCCCTTCAAGGGGGCATTACGACAAACGACACGCATTGGCGCTTTTAACTTCTCGTAAAGAAAGGAGCCTCGATGTGAACTTTTATGATATGTAGGGCGAGGTTAAGCAGTTTAACGAAGGCACACAGACAGAAGGGTGATTTTCTTTTTCAAGGCGGCAGGCTTCACATGTCGCTGTGGTCCGTCGGGAGCCTCCCTCTGCCCGGAGAGGACACCCGTTGGCTGGGAGGCGGAGACGGGACCCCCGTTGACGTCAGTGGGCCTGTCTGTTTCCTGCAATAGAAAGTGAGAGAGAAGGTGAAGGGAGAAAACACAGCGCTTGTGTCTCCCCCCCCCTTCCCCTCTCTCTCCTCTTTACACTAAAAGGTGCGATACAACCCCGCACCTGTGTTAATAAATCCAGATTGGGTGCGTTTGTTTTGTTTAACTGCGCATTTTGTTGGCGTTACGCGCAGCCGGAGCGTGGATCTGTCACTGTGATATAGGTCGCTTGTCGGTAGCTGCTGCCTCAGAGGGGTCGGACATGCTTCTACCTCTGCCCGCCTTGTGTGTCTCTCTGCCCTAAACTTTTTTTCGGCTCTTTCGTTTCCTACTTTTAGCGCTGTAATTGCGCATTATTTTTTATTTTTTTTGACGCAGCTTCTCGTGTGGACAAAACCTTTTCTTCTTCTGGAGGGAGGCAACTTGAGCTCCTTTTGAGCCCAGCTCTTTTGTTGCCTTTTTTTTTTTTTTTGCAACCCGCAGGTAAGCCACAAGCTTTTTTTTTTTTTTTTCTTCCATGTCCATGTGTTCACTTTCATCGCTTATGTTGGGATTCATTTGCATGCGTGTGTGTGCGTGTGCGTGCGTGTGTGTGTGTGTGTGTGTGTGTGTGCGCGTGTGTGTGCGCGTGAGTGTGTGTGTGTGTGTGTGTGTGTGTGTGTGTGTGTGTGTGTGCGTGCGTGTGTGTGACGGACGGACGTGTTGGACAAGGGGGAAGTGTCCCAGTCGAAAAGCTCTGTTTGCAGCAGAGAGACAGTGAGGGGTTTTCCCTGGCTCCTCCCCCTCTCACAGGGCGTTCACGTGTTGCAACAGTCTAAAAAAAAAAAAAAAAAAAAAAAAAAAAAGCGCTATTCCCACGCATTGTTTTTGCTGACTTCATTGCATGCAGTTAAATCCCCACATCTCCTCTCCGTACGTGGTGTGTTTGTCAAGATTGCACCGGTCATCTCCTCAGCAACGTGCACATATATATATATATATATATATATACGACAGAAATCTCTGCAGCACCACCACCACCTCATTATTTATATTTTCTTGATGTTCAACTTATGAATTATCTGTATCACGCACTCTGTCAATGCGTGATTTGGGTGAACAATGCGCCGCTGCAGCATAGGCTTTTTTTTTTCTTTTTTTTTTACATAATGTCTCCGGTTGATCCTCAGGTGCGAGCGACATAATCACTCAGTCACCTGCAGGTATTACACACACACACACACACACACACACACACACACTCAGAGCAGCCTGTCAGCGTTAGCGCATAGCGTTACGGCGCACATTTGTTTTTTGGCTTGGATCTGATGGTGTGTGTGTGTATGTATGTGTGTGTGTGTTATTTTTCTTCTTCGGGTCAGTATCAGGGTGTTTCCTCAGACACACACACACAAGTAGACAGGCTTGGCAGACGGACTGACAAAACACGCCAGAGGGAAATGTGCACGTCCCTCTCTCTCTCTCTCTCTCCTCCGCCTTTTTTCTTGCACCGTCGAACCTGCATCGAAACCGGATTGTGCACCAGTGAGGGAGCCAGGTGAGGAGTGCATCGTCTTTTTCTATCACCTGGATGTGTGATGTGAGTGTGTGTGTGGTTTTTTTTATTATCATGCGACCCGATGCAGCCGACTTGCACCGTGAGATGATGTCATTGCTCTAGCGCCACATGTACCAACTGTATGGAGAGAGAGGGGGGGGAATCATCATCCAGTTGTAGTAAGTGTTATGTAATATTGGTGAAGGGGGGGAAACAAAGGATGATTCCTGAAGGACTGCTGCTGCTGCTGCTGCTCTCTGCACCGTGCATTGCTCCAGCATGGGTCTATAGAGGTGTTGTGGGGACAAGGTGGAGATGATACAAGGGTAAGAAAGCTAAAAAACAACAACATATAAGTTAATGATGCGATTTAAATTTTTATGCAGAGGTGAGTTTCTGTTTTGCGCCTATTTCTGCACATCAGGCAGCTCTGCGGGGTTTGACATCTTGGTAACATTTAACTTCCAGCACCCACCTTCTTGCCTCACAAAGCAAACATTTGCATGAGAGTCACATTGAGGGTTCTGATCTTTTGTTTTGTTAAAAGGGCATCGAAAGCGATCAGAGTGCAAAACATTTCCCCTGTGGAGGTGGCTTCTGGTTTGACTTTCTGCAGTGGTCTTAAGTTCAACGGGTGGGGGGAGAGAGAGAGATTTCTCTGATAGTATAACCTCTGTGTGGGCCGCCCCAGCTGGCCCCTGAGCAGCGTTCATCACCGGCAGCAACACAGTGACCCTTATTGTTTGCGTCGTTTCGTCATCTTGCGCTGACAAGTCGTCAAAGTGGAGAAGCGGGGCTCCCTTGTATCAGCCGGTGACATGTCAATCAGACGTCCCCCCCCCGCCCCCCCGTAAACAGAAACGGATCCTCCACCTCTCCTGTCCTTTTTGTTCCAGATCAGAGTGGCAGATAGCAGCTGCTGCAGAGGTTATGTTGATATGAGGGGTACATATTCACACCTCCTCTCCTCCCTCTGACAGGCAGCAGGCAGCAGCCCGAAGCCGCACTGCACATTATCACAGGAGGAGAAATGAGACGCCGGCAGAGGCACCTGTTTGAGGAATGAACTCAATCAGTGACTCGGTGCAGGACTCTCACACGGCCGCAGAGTGAAAAGCAAAAGAGAAGCGGCATATTTGACTCCACGTTCTAAACCATGACCGTGTGTGTGTGTGTGTTTTCTGTAGATGCAGCCGAGACTGTGGCTCAGGAGGAGTCGACTCTATAGATCCACATTTCCCCAAGATGCACCTGTGAACTGAGGGGCGGAAAAGATGCCGCGCACCAAGCAGAACCACCCCAAGAATCTAAAAGGTGAGTCCCTGCGATCCTGTACACGTTGGGTTCTTTGTCTCGGTGGGTTTGTTGATTCAAGTCTGAAGAGGAAGTGCTCAGTTGTCTCTTCACACCACTAAGTGATTGGATCACTTCATATTGTTGATATAAGTTCGGCGTTTGGATTGAAGGGTGACTTGATTTCCTTCCTCAAGCCTTTTTTTTTGTGTGAAAACCCATCTAACTATATGTATTAAGTCATCAAAGTTCATTAAAATAGGACAGCTGAAGAGAGAGAGGACATAATCAGGAGCAGAGAGTCAAGGCTGGAGGTTTACTCAGGGCCACATGACTTAAATGGGATGCCAATTTTTGATTTCTAGTTAACAGACTGAAAAAACAACATTAAAAGAAGAATGTGCCACTTTTTGATCCAGTAGAAGTCGCCCCCTTAGTGCCAGCACTAAACCAAAACAAACTTCTGTCTGGTGACACCTCCGCTCTCCTCCAGCGACACACCTCCAAACCCCCCTCTCCACTCGCGTTCACATGAAGGTGTTATCAAATGGAACGCATCATAATTAAGCTCCATTAATCAGTGGACAAAAAAGTCCATTTGCTCCAGCTGTAATCACCTGTGGCCTAGCATGCTAATGTTAGCACCCTTTAGTTAGCTCATAGCTTCACATTGAGCATACATTGACACTGAATGGCCGTGATCTAAAGACACTAACATGACATCCAAACAAGCAGTGAGTGTGTTATTCTTCTTTTCTCTAGTCCTTGACTCAAACAGCTTTTATACACAAGGTCGTCCCCTCATGTCAACACGGCTCAGACAACAGTTACAGCTGGAGCAGCTGAGTACAGCTCAGAGACACATTCACAGAGGAGATGTTTGATTTCTTCTGTCTTTATGTGTTTAAAACGTCGCACATTCTTCATTTAAAATATTCATAAGATTCTCTGAAACAGCCACATTAAGACATTTTATTTTAACCACATAACTTTTACTACTCTACTCGCAGTGCAGATTCTGGTTCTTATTTTCGAGGCATTCTTTTTTATTTTTTGGGTTATAGGTGAATGGTCATGGTGTAACTGTGTCAGGCATGTCAACATCCCTTCACACATAATGTGCTGCTCTCCTGAACTTGTCGGGACATTACCCAGAGTTTGAGGTCATGTTAACCAGACATTAAAGGGACTTCACCCTGCCAGCCCGGCTGCTACAAACAACTGTTATGAAATGTTGTGTTAGTGGGGCAGAGACGTGTTGATGGTGCGGTCGAAGTTGAGTGTTCCTCCTTTATTATTTGTATTCTGCGTGCCTGCAGTGCTGATGTGATCATGTGGAACTGAAGTCAGCTCCGAATACAGTCTGTAATCTGGACGTGTGCTCTCTCTGCAAAATAAGATGAAAAACAAGACAAAAAAAGTTCAAATAAAAGAATTGACGATGAAATGTCATAAACAACGTATTCAAATTTCACCATATCCTGCCGCGAGGAGGAGTTCTGATGATTTCCTAATGATTGTTTTCATAACATTTAAAAAAAAAAAAAAAAAAAAGCAACCCCAAACATTGCTGGAAAGTTGTTGATGTATCGGAGTTGCTAAATGTGCTGAACTCAAACCAGCAACACCGGAGGCAACACGATCAGGTTTAGTGCCAAGTAAGTTAGCACAGACGAGACGTCTGTTGTGGTGTTCTGGTGCCAAACAATGAACAAGGGAATGGACTAAACTGCAGCAATCCTACTGCCAGGAATCAAACCAATTAAAATAACAAAAATTCAGTCATATGTGGACAATCCCCAACAGGAAACGGTGTTGTAGTTTGTGCAGGTTAACGCCTGAGCTGGCAGCTGTGTTGCTGTCGGCCATGTTTGTGTGCGTTCATGATACATTGATTTTAGATGTTGTTCTGCAACCTGCAGATCTTCCGCTGGTCTGCGTCCTCCTGGCTCATGTCAGGAGTCTGTTTTTCTCTGGAGGAGTCTGATGTGATTTATTTCTCTTTGTTTACACACAGCAACGTCTGTGGCTGTTGTTTGTTGTGATCAGGGGCTCATATTGTTTACATCTGATGGGTACATGGTTTAATTATTCAAAAAGTGATCATCAGTGATTAATCACAGGAACTTTTGAGGATGATCTTTAAGTCTCGGCCTCACAGAGGAATCTGACAGTACATCAGCAGCGTGTGATGGAGGCTGAGGCAGCATATTGAAGCTGCAGCATCGTCCCATGTTAACACAGAGCACCAATTGGCCTGCAGGATTTTCGTGTTATGTTGAGAATTGACAGATTTACGTGTCAACAGACGTTTGCAGTTCACAGATCTGTGATTTTTTTTTGTGTTTTTGTGCAGCGTTTCATGCTGGGTGTGAGACTGTGCATCACTGCAGTCGCTCCACACGCCGCACATGTCTTCATGTCTGTGAGCTGGCGAGGCCCTCTTGTTTGTTTATCATACAAACACTTCCTGTGCTCTTTTTCTTTTTTATTCAGCTTACTTGGCCAAACAACATAAATAATTAAGTTTGAGAACAGTACGTTTCACCGCCCCAACAGAGGACGATAGAAACGCCGGCCAAATGATACTTGGTTCTATTTTTAATGGTGACTGTTCCCTTGTTTCTCGCCGTGCAGACCGCAGACTGCCGCTGCTGCATTGTGGGGGATTTTTTTTTTGCTTGTGGGTAAAATTTCTGTCCTCAAAACAAATAAATTGACAGTAATTTGATTTGGATGGAAGATCCCTATGAAGGGGATAATATTAGTGAATGTTTAAAAATGTACCAGGACATTTAAAGCCCGGGTTATTTACAGTAATATACTGTAATCAATAATCAGCAGCTTTAAAACTTCAATGAGCTATAACCACAGACAGATATTTAGACCAAGGGACAACCTCCAGTGTTTGTTTAAAAAAGAAGTAAATGTGGAAGTGCAAAATCCTGCAGTTCATTGAGTGTCCACTAGAGGTTTCTTCAGTAGAAATTAACATGTTTACAGCCTGGTTTAAAAAATCAAATAGGTCTGATTGTTGTTGCTTGTTTGTCATTCGTCTTTGTGAATCTTTGTGTCTCTGCTTGTGTACTTTTTTTCTTGTAAATTTGTGTCCATTGTTTCCTCTTTTTGCATCTGTGTTTAGTTCAAGGCTCTGGTTGTGGTTGTTTAGCGCGTCATTGTGGGTGTTTTGTTGTTTTTTACTACTTTTTTTGTGTGTCTTGAAGTTTTGATTCTCTTTGTGGTTTTTTAGCGTCTTTGTAGTTATTTGGATATTTTTGTCAAATTTCACATTTTCTTCTTCATTTTTTTAAAACACGTCTTTGTCAGAAACTCTTGCAGGATATTGAACCTGGATGATTAGACGATGCTTTAGGAATCTGGGTTGAGAATCAGATTTAGTCTCTGAATGCATCACAGATTCTTCGATGTGTACGATTGAACTCGTCGTCACCTGCTTCATCTGGTGCTGGTGAACTTTCTTCGGGGAGTCACTTCCTCATCATCTGACAACTTGCAGAGACATTTGTTTGGCCTCTTGTTTTTTTGCCGTCTGACCCAGTTCGTCCCCTCTACTGTGCTCAGGCTTTCCCTTCCTCGCACAGGAAATGAGAGTTGTGTGGCGTGCTATCACATGCTTAAACTCTGCTGTGGTGAGTGTGTCAACTCCTGGGAACTCACAGAAAGAAATATTTAAAAAAAACTGCCCTGAAGCCGTCCAATCATGATGCTTAAAAAGACACCCGGCTTGAAGCTAAATGAGCCTTTAACATTTCATCTCCTCCGCTTAAAAACATCGCAGTAACTCATGTTAGCACAGACGCAGAGCTGGTATTTTTATTCAGATTTTATTGGAGAGATAGGACAGTGGATAGGGTCGGAAATCAGAGAGAGAGAGAGAGAGAGAGAGCGAGTGGGGAATGACATGCGGGAAAGGAGCCACAGGTCGGATTCTAACCTGGGCCATTGGTGCCACAGAGCTGGTGTTTATGAAGATTTGGCAGGATGTTCTTGGGAAACCTCGTCTTTTCAAACTTAACATTTTCCCCGTCGGTCGTCAGAAATTTGACTTTTGCACACTTTTTCCAGTCTGGGGACACAAATAGATAAACCACACCACCAGAAATGTCGAGGTGTTCTCGCTGGTCTGTGTGGGATCATGTAGGAGGGCACATGTTGAAGCCTGCTGTCAGTAAATCAGCAGTCAGAGCCGAATAGACAAAAAACTTTAAACAAGCCATGAAAAGATTTCATCATCGAAAGTTTTATGACTTCTTGAGTAAAATTTTTGCGTTTCTTGAAGCCATAACTCACAACAAAACCTCCGTGTGACCTTTATCTAATTCTACAAATTAAACAGCTTTTGTCAGTAGTTCTGATCTCATCATGTCCAATAAAAACAGCCCAGCAGTAAATCTCTACTCTACGAGGCTCGTAATGATCGCTTTGTGTTTATCACTTTGACCTGTTCAGATTTACAGTTCAGACCCTCGTTGGGTTTTATTTATGTAAATGAAATCAATAGTTTATTTATGATTTGTGACACTGTTCTTCAGGCTTGATAGCATTATTTATTTATGTTTACAATTTAGACCAAAATCTTAAAAAGTGGATTTGGAGGAAATTAGCAACCCTGCCTTTAGTGTGTGTGTGTGTGTGTGTGTGTGTGTGTGTGTGTGTGTGTGTGTGTGTGTGTGTGTGTGTGTGTGTGTGTGTGTGTGTGTGTGTGTGTGTGTGTGTGTGTGTGTGTGTGTGTGTGTGTGTGTGTACACTTTGCTGAACCAGGAAGAGTAAAGCTGCAGAGATGAAGTAAACAAACAGATTTTAAAGGAACGTGTGTGATCACATTCCAACATTTTTTGGGGGGCAGATTATGTCTACATGTCATCGTGCTCCACCGTGTGTGTGTGTGTGTGTGTGTTTCACGTTTCCACCATATTTCTTGTTAATATTTGTCAGAGCCGTTTCCCTGGAAATGCCAGCCCATTCATTTTGTGGGCGGAGCTTGTGACAGAGCACTAAAG